TAAAGTTAAAGATGAATTGAAGGTGTGACGTCACTAACTAGCATTTGTCTCTTTAAACAAATGTATTTACTGAGTTAGAATTTCATCTTTGGTATGTCGATGAAATCACTAGGCGGTAGAAAAGGTTACGGCATGTGGCTATAAATTAGGCTGTCACTGCAGAGATTAATTAGTTTGGCTTGTGGTAGAGGGAGTGTCATGTGGTGTCGCTTCATATAAGTTCATGGCACTGATTGCTGCGTGAAGGCTCTGAAGTCTTGTGTCAAGGCAATACAATGTTCAGCTCTTGCTAATGTGTAGATCTATAATAAAAGTGCCTGCTTCGTCATTATAACAATATCGCATCAATATACGTTTTCCTTTGAACATTTGATATACTAACTGAGTATACTCCGAATTTTTTTCGGGATTCGCGAGTTTAAAATTAAAATGAAAACTGATTCTCTCCAATCAAGGTTTGGAGAAAAATCATATTTATATCATGATATTAAGGCATAATGAAAATGATTCGGGTTTTCGAACCCTTAACGGAGACGAACAAGATCTCTAGCCATTCGTTGAAATATTACGAATGGCATTCGAATTTCAAATGCTGAACAAAGACAAACTAGAATTGTGACCAGTTAGTGAAATATCATTAGCAGGATGCGTATTTAGAATCCTAAACAGAGACTGCTAGATTTATGATTAGTCAGTGAAATATTGTTAACAGGATGCGAATTTAAAATCCTAAACAGAGACTACTAGATACATATATGACACGTCAGTGAAATATCGTTAACAAGTTTCGAATTTATCCTAAACAGAGACTCGTTTCATGGGAACTGAAACGATCTGCCTTCACATGACTTACTCAAGCCCTCCACATAACTTGCATCACAGCTGTTACGGCAACGAGGGGTCTGGACAGGCAAGTCCAAATCTTCCATGGCCATTTTTTACCGTTAAGGAATTTACGAGAGTTCAGAATTTCTTATTCTCACAGCTATGCTGTCTGTAAATACCTTAAATGTGTTCAGATTAAATTACAATCTGAATAATGACTGACTTTTCTCATTAAATCCGTTTTTTCAGTCAGAAGTGCATACATTTTTCTACACGAACAGATAAAGCTCAGATTTTTGTTTAATGAAGGCGAGAGAAAGCTAGACGCACTAAAGTGGCCTGATTTTTTGTTATTATTTAATGATCGTCTACAGAAATCAGCTTCCATGTTGTGCTAGAAAAATACGCGTTTTCTGCTTAAATTAAATTTAAACAGTATACATTAAATTTAAACAGTATTAAAATATAAACAGTAGATTCTATGATCTTCCGGGATTAGGGGCGGAAATACAATATATGCATTATCCAAAAGTAGTATTTCTAACAATTAATGTAGTATATTAATTGTCAAAAATACTGGTAATTGTGAATATGAAATAATAACTAACATTTTTAATTGTAATAATAACTATATCAAAATATTAACATTTTTCCAGGGGGACAAAGAATGTGTAAATGCGAACAATATGGACAATATTAAATGAACATTAAAAAAAACAATTAATTGACCAATTGATGCAACTACCGGAACAAGTATCCTATTTCGCATCCACGATACAACAACCAATTTTCAGTCACCATGAAGTAGCATACCGCGCTTAAAATACACTTGTACTTAACATAGCAGCTAGTTGCATGCAACAATCTGTATATTGTACAGTTCTGTTTTATTTACAATATGATATAATATAAAATATTATAATATAATAGAATGTAATATAATATAAAATAATATAATTTAATATAATATAATATAATATGATATAATATAATATAATATAATATAATATAATATAATATAATATAATGCAATTATTCGCTCTTATCGTAATGTCCACAATCTATGCTCAGGTATTCCATCGCTATTCTTGCTCCCCTGCTTGTCGCTCAGAATGCAGATCTCTCTCTCTCATCCCTGGAAGGCAACAAGTCTCACCTCAACTTGACTCGTCGCAGGCTAGCCGCATGACTCACTAACCTACTTTTATTCAAATTAGATTAAGTACATTGAGAAAATTCTAATAAAGAAAACAATAAAAGCCGACCCCTGTACACGATATGAAACATGAATGTTCGTTGATACCTGACTTGTCCAATTTTTAATCACTGTGAATGTTGTTTGATTTACAAGTAAATTTATAGTGAGCAGAAGAGCTTGCCTTGCGTATATGCAACCTATTGATCAACAGCAATAGTGTTATCTGACTATATCATACCTACAGTATTTTTACCGACCGCGCGTCTGTAGTGGTAGATCGGATGTGTTTATAAAGCAGTATAAATCTTTATACGCCTTCATTTATACTGAGTGTTCTTACTTCGTCTTACTGACATTGAGTACAGGAGTAATTATTTATCCCGTGATAGCATTGAGCAGATCCGGCACTCACACTATCAGTCATGTTATCATGCAATAATGAACACCATGTTCATGTAAATCGTGCGATAGTGAGAATACGATAACTGTATAATCGCGTCATGTGATATTCATGTGAATATCTTAGGGATCTTTCAACAAAAAACTGCATTTGTTAGTTTTTAGTCCAAAAATATAGAATACGTAAAGTAAACGAAATTTCGTCACGAGGATCCGGTGCCATGATCTTTTACGAGCGTTCGATCGTCATTACCTGCTCTTGGTTTCCGAGGCCGCCCAAAAAAATTTATTAATTATATTCTCAGCCCACGTTTCTAGACTATTATTCTCATCAATAGTCAAGTATTGCGAATAGAACAGGAATCAATACTGATATTAATATAAATTATTAAGTTATATAATAACAATAGAATATATTGAGAATTATGAGCACTTAGGGTACATTATCAATGTATACAATGATATTCTCCAGATAAGAATAATTCACATTTGACGTACAAATTTGACGTTAGAAAAGGCAAGACTTCGCTATAAACTTTCCATGTATTCTAACGTTACTGCAAACGATTATCATTATCACAATGTCAATAAATAAACTCGAGACTTGAAAAATTCCAGCAGTGCGTGAAAGAATCTTATCGTCTAACAGAAGTTAATGTAAGCAACCATTGTGATGGTTACTCACAACCATCTGCGTACACAGCTAGCGGGCGCCGAGCCAGCTGGCTGCGTCTCAGGTGGTGCAGGCTCAGTCCCTCCCGTAGCAGGGTGCCGCCGGGCAGTGGTAGCGTGTTCGGTTTTATCGTGCGTCAAGTTTCTTTGTACGGCCTTAGAAGTGTTGCTTCTAACCGTAATGCATCAAGCTTCATTGTACATCCTAACATGGTTGTGATCGTAGAATGTCAAGCTTCTACGCCAAGCTTCTACGTTCTATCTTAATACGCCAAGCTTCATTGAGCATCCGAAAACATGGTTCTGATCGTAGCGCGTGAAGCTTCATTTTATATCCTAAAAGCAAACTTCTGATCGTAGTGCGTCAAGCTTCATTGTGCATCTTAAAACAAGGTTCTGATCGTAGCGCGTCAAGCTTCATTTTATATCCTAAAAGCAAACTTCTGATCGTAGTGCGTCCATCTTCATTGTGCATCTTATGAATTGGATTATTATATTGGCGTTCCAAGCTTCATAGTACAGCCTGAGAACTACATGTATGTTATTATCATAGTAGGTCATGTTTTAATGTCCGTCCAACGAACTAGGTTGTTATCATGACGTTTTCAGCGTTGTTGTAACTGTGCTGAGAACTGGATATATATCCTGACGTTTCAAGCTCCTTTGTTCGTCCCAAGAACTAGGTTCTTATCTTATCGCTTTTGAATATCTTGTAGCGTCCAGAAAGAATTTATTGAAAGCTTTTCGGCATCGTTTATATCTGAAGAGGTTTTCTATACAGAATCAAGCTTGAAGTAAGAAGAGTGAACGACTCTGAAATTAGTGGATTTCCAATTACTAGTAATTTTTAATATTATCTACTATGACTGACGCTAGGAAGAAACCAATCCAAATCCATTAAATAATAATAATAAAATAATTAAGCTTTAGGTTATTTAAGGTAACCAGATAATCCACATAATCTCTGGATATAATCATAAAATTACAATTACAATCTGCATAATTACTTTACACTAACCCTAATTCTTCACACCTACATGAGACAGTCGCAGGGAATAGGGTGCGCCTGAACCCGAGGGGGCAGTTTTTTTAGTGGCACTTGAGCAAATTGAGTTACGAGTTTACGGCTCCTCTCCCCAATTCGCTGAATGTATAGGGAAACTAACTGGAAAAATATAAAGACGTATAAATGTAAAGAATCACGTAATTTATACGTACTTTTTAAGTATACTTTGATCCGATTCGTAGTTATATCGCAGTTATTATGCTGGCATGAAATAAAATCATGACGGATGGTTTAAGAGTGTGTGGTTAATTGAAATAAAAGCAGAATCGTGTTCGTGTCACTTTGCTTAACCACGAACACTAGCAAGGAAAGGCATTCAACTCTAGTGTTATAGCACGGCATGTGAGGTTTTTAGAGAACTGATAAAATGGAATATAAAGTCTGGTTGAGTGCACCAGCTTTTTTTGTGACTTCAGCACACTTTTCGTGAACGTTCAGAAAACAAGAAATATTTTCACGAGTTTCCAAGTGGATAGTCGGACAATCCTACCAAGAGATGAAAAAACAAAACAATGGAACATTCGAGTATATTTTAAAAATAAATAATTTTCGCTGTCTAATTTTGCCGTGGCGTAATCTACGCGACTGCGTAAACTTTGACATGGCTAATTTTCATTATTTAAAAGAAGACGTGTTGTATAAGTAACCTTCTGTAGCAAGTAATCACGTTTGGAATGAAGCATGCCGCTTTAAGAATATACTCATGTTCCTAATACCCATTCATCCACACTTGCTAAAATTACAATTATCATCCTTATTTTCATATTAACTTTACACCAAACAAAATAAATGGCGAAAAATTTTAATGTCGTATTAATTACTCGTTTTTCCGCAGCTGACAGAATTTTAAAGCAGTTGTTAATGATTATTGGATTGTTAATTTACGGGTTTATGCCGCTGCAAAAGCTGAAAAATCGTTCAAATGACTTATCGTTGTCTTGACGTTCTTGCAAATGAATGCATGAAAACTGCTTAAAGAACATTAAAAATTTTGTCAAAAAATGTTTAGTGCTATGTATAATTAATGACCATGAAAGAATAATCTTCAAGAGAAATTATGAATGAGGCTTTCTACTTTTCATTTCTTCATTTCAACAAACTATAAATTAATAATTCCTAGCATGAATGATGCCTAATGTCTCTAGATTTATTGGTATTTTATTGGTGAATGGTGGCAGATGCGGCCACTCATCGGAGCGTCACCTATAATCCACCAAGGCCACCTATAATCATCGGTGCACCACCCTTAAGTTTTATTTTGATAAAAGTAGGCAAAGTTGTTTGTTGATTAGTCTGAGGTTGCGGAGGCCAAACCCTTTCGTCTCGGATACATTTACCGCCGTCAATGCTATTCGTACCTAGTGGTTTGGAAGCCAGAACTCCCGTCAGTCACGGAAGGGTTAAACCCGGAGTCAAGATGCTGATGGAAACCAAGGCCCACATGGACTACTGGTCCGTCGAACACTTCTGTGGGCGGTGGACGTTGAGGACAGGAGCTCTGTTCATCGCTTCCATCACTGCGGTGAGCGCTTCAGTATTGGCTGCTTTTTAGCTCGTTAAAACTTGCTAAAGTTTGAACTATCGCCAATCAACGTATCGGCAAAAATTAATTACTAATTCAAAAAAATAACTGAACTACTATTTCGAATGAGATTTGTCGAGCTAGGTTTTCTCGTCGTTAAGAACTGTGGATCGTAAAAAATTATAACCAACCTTTTACGGTAAAAAACATTTCTGATGTAATTTACGGTAGTTTACATGTTTTAAGTCATTCACTGTACATAATGTTTCATATCATTTACGGGAAAACATGTTTTATATATTCTATGTTACAAAATATGTTATGTGTCTTCTCTAAAATGTTTTACATGCCCCCTAAAAACATCGATTAGTTGCGATGTAGCATTCGTTTGCAGTTAATTCATATTATTAGGATTTCCGCATCCAACGCATGTGGCAGCTTGATGACACGTACGCTTTTCCGGGATGTTATGCGGTATATAATGTAATTGCCCGAGGTACAAATTTTGTTCGTCTGAAAACACATATCATTCACACGCCAAATGCATATTTTATTAGACAAATACAAGTATGCTGCGCTGTTCTATAAAATAAGTAACCAGGTAATGTATGATTTTATTTTGTCCAGCCATGCGCTTTTTACCGTTTAATTGTGATTGTTTCACGCTCATGTACCAAATTTCTCGATATATACAATTTTAAGCTCTATAAAAAAAACCTTTGAAATCTATTAGCGTTGATACAGCAGATCGAGGAGTGTACATTTTAAGGCATCGCAAACGCCTCGTTAATTAAGTTATCTAAGCAAGTTTATTGATATTAATTTTAATTACCGCTTTTTCAGCGCAATATGATGTATTAGGTAGACTCATTTAAGAAGCAGAACGTCCATGCTGATAAAAAAAGGTCGTAAATATGTCCGACAGAGCTACGTGGGCTACGATAGCTCCATGGCAAGGCAAGGTCCTTAGTTGGCTTCTAATTAATTTTTTTATTCAGCATTATTTTATTTGAACGGTTTTTTAGTGCAACCGACGAACGCGCGACTGCCGAGCAAAGGACGGCGAACCAACTGAAGTAAACATATGAATAAATCATGGAAGTTGAACTTTATCGCAGTAACTATCAGCTGAGGAATTTTGCTAAAATTCACCAAAAATAGGTGAATTACCATGCAAGTTTACCGTCAAACACAATGATACTGAGTCCGTTTTTTGGGGTACCTTGACTTTGGAGTACCTAGTGAATTTACCTTGACAAAAAATAATTTAAATAGAAAATTGTGTTTGCTTTATCCCGACTTTAAAAAAGAGAGATGTTAACTGGGAAGTGAATTCATTTAACAATTATCACCAGCTTTGATGATATCAATTCGAGGCTGCAATATTTTTAAGTGAATGTTCCTTGCACTTCCTGAGGACGAAAAAAAAGTCTCAGGTGCATGAGGATCTGAGACTTCCTTAAGATGAGGAAGTCCCCAGGCAGGATACCAGTCCTGCTGAGCAGGTGTCCAGTCCCGCACTTGGGGACAATCGACGAAAAAAAAAATTCGTTGTGCAAACTCGCGATTCGTTGACTTAGTCATCAATACACATTTTGAGAGTATGAAATGTTCAAAGTTTTTGCTACAAAATTTACGTTACTTCAAGAATGAAATACAAAAAGTTAGATTTTTAATGAAATTTACCACAAAATTTTATTAGCACTGTCCATCAGAGCTACTTTACCGAAAGTAAAATTTCAATGTCAATAGGTGCGATTGGAAACATGATTTGCTTTTGTAAAATGCACACAATGCCTGCTAGGTACTTCTGGGCTTGCATTCGAAATAATATTGGATTGAATTGAAAAATGTAGCTAGAAACTCATGAGAGTTAGATAACATATTTTAATCTGAGAGGACAGGGTTGTTTTGTTAGACTTTTCGCATATTGTTTAGTTAATTTCTGAATCCTTGGTACTTGTTTTCCGTTCCACTATAGTCACACTTTAAACTCTCGTGGCATTGTCTTCAATTACGATTAAATTAAAAAAAACTATTACCATCAATATTAAATTAAGTAGTAAAAATATAAGATTAAAATATTCAAAATAAAAAAATTTGTACAAACCACGTTGGCATCCATTCCGTGTAGCAGCAACTAAATTCGTACCCAAATGACGACATTGTCAAGCAGCGCCAGTGCCCCGCACCCGTATTGTGTGTGTGGTGAAGGAGCGTCTACACTCACAAAAAGAATGGGTCGTATTGTCCAAATAGTGACAGGTTTTCTAACAGGCAGCAGGAACAAAGAATCGAAGTAGCACTGATATGCCCTTATGCCCGGCCAAACTGTGTCCAGATGACCTACACAAGGGTAAAGAGTGCATCGCTAGTTGGACCGAGTCGCACTTTTTTTCACGTGCTAGCAAGGCAAGGCCGTCGGCTGCGCGGCTCGAAACTGGAGCAGCGGCGGCAGCAACTCCATCAGATTATGTCTGCCTTACAAGGATTCATGTCCCTGGGTGGGCTTAATTCTATTTTCTAGCAAGCAACGCAACACCAACAAGAAGTTAAATGTTTATTGTGGCACCTGTATGGTGTGTGAGCCGCCTCACCGAAGGACATTCATCCGATGATTTCGATAAGATTCTTGCGATGAACAAATTTGTCCTTGAGTTACCTTTTGTATAGGTTAAAAATACCAGAGACCTTACTTAGTGAGTGGTAATAACATGATATCGTACGATCTCGTAAGTACCTACTGTATTAAATCAATACGAGTTTGCGTCGAGTGTTCGGTTTTAATATTAATATTATAATTATAGTTAAAATACCTGCAACTTTTATACTATCGTGTAGCATGGCAGTGCCAACTCATCGATTTATCTGCCAGTATTATTTTTTATTAAGATCATTACTTATATTATGTAAGCTTCAATTATTTATGATTAATAAGATGCAAAATTCACTGGCAGAAAAGCAAGCTAATTAATAACAGCCACACGTTTATTATAGTCCCGGCATCTTTGACCACATTACGTCAGTTTACTTAACGTCTTTAAGATAATTATAGTATTTTATATGGTAATTATATCTTTGCAGGTAGCGGCGCAAGTATTCTCCACGTAGCGGTCGATTTATCGCCTGTGTTTGTTGATTGGTTTGGCCGTCTGTTATTTTGCTGACGGGGTTACGAATTTAAAACTCTATTTGATAATAGAGCTCCAGGTATGGTTGCTGCCGTCAGTGCTGTGGTATTTTACCGCCGATTTGCGCATTATAGCAGTTTTGGCGTTGCTGATCAGGCAATAATGCAGTTCACCGATTCTGGACATCGCAGAATTTTCACAGCTTATTGCGGCTCTCGAACTCGCAATTCCCTGCCAAAATTTTGGTACTCTGAACTGTAACCACTGGACCACCCTACCCAAACTTACCTATTGATGCGTTATCATTCCACACCAGGTGTGGTCATTGACATCAGTGCAGTGGTTCGTGGCGATGCAGTTCTGCGACAGGAAGGAAGGACAGGAGGCGTGCTGGATCATTCCTAAACCTGAGGTGCAGACAATCAACAGGATGTCTCCTGAAAGTGAGTCTCGATTATTTTATTCTGTATCATGATACGAAATACCCACGAGAAATACAATATATTAATTATATTTACCATATTACTTACTAGTAGTACCTTATTACTGAGTAGTAATATAGTAAACCTGATTTGATGGGTCATTTTGTTAACTCGTATAGCCCTTTAACAATATTTTTGGATCGAAACGTTTTTTTAAATAAGAGCCGACAATTATAAATCTTTCAAATAATCACTTCTCAGGAATAGTTTAGTTAGAGTTTATTGATGTTAATCGTTTTAATTTCTCTAAAAAGTGTGCCCTCGTGATATTCATGATTATTGTTGTTAATGATTCGCTAAGGGCTTGCACCAAAATCATATTTTCAAAATAGTATATACATTGTTATTTCAATTATATTTGAAATTCAAACTTTATCGTTCTGTGTTCATTGTTGGTGTTGTCAGATGCACAAAAAATTCAACACTACCTGATCATCTGCTTGATCGTCTATCACGCGCTGTACTTCATCTTCTCCCTCATGGTCTTCACGGGCGTCTACAAGGTGTGTACAATATAATCAAATTGACATGATTATACGATAATCCGAATTATTTTATTGCATTTGACCTGAAATATTTTCCTCATCAGTCTTTAAAATTAAAACCAATAAAAACTGATATTTTACGTCACAAATTGCCATTGGATATCGCTTTGTATTAGTTCTTTTATTTTTATATGGCTTTTTATAGCGAGTGCAAGCAATTCTTCTACGTCAAACTATACACAACTTGATCGTTCCCCATGCATTTTCATGTCAGTTATTAGGTTATTCACAGCTTAGAAGTTTTCAGTTACTTCAATAGTCTCCCCTAAAACATGCAACAATTTTTTCACAAAAGTTTCTCTTTGCCACCACAGAAAGTTCCGACGTTGCTCTCCCCCTGGGTGGGCATGACGAACATACACATGATGCTTGTGTTCGTGGACCTGCTGCTGACGCTGGCCTTCACCACCCTCCTGCACCTGCTGATCACGCTGGCACACTTCGTGGCCGCCCTTTGCGCCTGGGTCGTGGTCAAGTCCCACCGTCAGCAGCTGCGTGTGCTAAGGTCCCGACCACCCATACCTGATAATGCGCTACTCGACTACACCGTTGATGGTGTAGATAAAATTGCGCTCGATCCTGTGCCGTGAACATAGCGATGAATAAAACAAATTTTGATTATGTGCCTTTAACGTCGTGAACAAAACAGTTTTGATCCAGGGCCGTGAACATAGTGATCAATAAAACAAATTTTGATTATGTGCCTTTAACGTCGTGAACAAAACAGTTTTGATCCAGGGCCGTGAACGTAGTGATGAAAAAAACAAATTTTGATTATGTGCCTTTAACGTCGTAAACAAGACCGTTTAGATCCAGGGCCGTGAACGTAGTGATGAATAAAACAAATTTTGATTATGTGCCTTTAACGTCGTGAACAATAGAGCTTTGATCCAGTGCCGTGAATATCGTGAACGAAATGGCTCTTGATCCCATGCCACGAACGAGAACGCCTTCAATTCTCTGCGATGAACCTCATGGTCAAAACAGTTCTTTTTCTTGATCCTATGCGGTGAACGTCAGATGCCTTGAAAGTTGTAAACAAAACATCCCTTGTACGCTGACACCAAAATAGCTCCTACTCCTGCGCCGTGAAGAAAATACCATTTTCACCTGTGCTGTGGTAATCGTGAAAAAATAGCAAACGATCCTGTGATATGAACAAAATATTTCGATAAGCAACTTCATGTTTAGTGAACCAACATCGTTTCATGCGAATGCAAAACCATCTAAATTGAGTCTATACTATTCATGAAACTTGTAATTTTCCACAATAGAATTTCTTCAATTTACACAGAACTTCATATTGCCTATTTGTGTATAAATATGTAATAGACTTAGTATAACATGTTTGTTATATGTCTGTATAGTATAAGATATATGTCAATGTCCTCTATACGATATTCTTTAAAAAAATGCACATTCAGCGACAGTTAACTGAAACTGGTCGTAAGTTCTTTTGTGTGTATTAAATTTACTATTTTTCAAACTGCGTTTGCAATAAGATCAAAATCATTATACTTCAAATAAATTGCCGAATTCAATCGCACAGTAAACAAGTTTATGCCGACCAAAGAATGAGTATTTTTTAATATTTTGTTTCAGTTTCATGAACCTATGATTTATCTAGTGAATGTGGAGTTGATCTCAACTTATAAAATTTTAACGACCAATAATATTCAAATCAGATTTTTCATAAATTTTATTTTTTCTAGTCAGAACCACGAATGAGAGAAATTTTTATAGTCTTGGCCAATTGCTGATGAATACAGTTGAATAAAAGTTTTTCGCATTTAACCTTCTGCTTGAATTCGTATCAAATGTTGATTTCATTTAGGATGATTTCATGACATCTGCGGTAATGGTTCCCAATGTGATTGCTGGAGCCTTTTTAGATGGGACGTGAAAAACTTTCAGGGAAATGAACGATTCCTATCTGTATTTTTCAAGAATTTACAGCCTACAAGATAACCTGGCAACGACGTGCAACTGTTACTGGACGGCATGGACCAAGATACAGAGGGAAAAAGTATTAAAAGTATATAAATTTAGTCAGTCACCAATTGTGCAGGCTCTCCCTCTTAAAATGATGGGAGAGGCCTGCAATTGACATCATAGGTAGACCTCAACTATATGAGACAAAATACGAAAAAAAATGTTGAGAATATCCTTTTATCGGACTAAATACTCATTTTCCCCACTGTAGAAGCAACCGCCGTTAAATTGAAACAGTGCACTTACTTAGTGAACTAAATATGAGCGCATAAGTGAATAAAATGACACTAATACCAGATATCGGCGGGTCTTTATAACATTTGAGTGTCATGGTACTAGGCCATAATTCTACACTTCAAAAGGTTTATCAACCACAAAAAGGTTATAACATCTGGTCCCCAAAAATGCGACCTTCCAAATCATCCTCCCTTGCCGAGAACCGAAACCGGGCCAAGCTTCTGGGTCCAAGCGATGCGTACAGGCATCGCTGTGTTGGTAATAAAGTTTACTTAGACAAGGCAGAATCAGAAATAAGGCGTCAATAGGAAATAAAAAACAATGGTGCGATCAGAAGTTTATGTACAAGATTTCGAGAAATGGACAAGATTGTTAGAATCGCTTGAGTGGCCAAGCGTACAAATGTTAACACTCCAGGATAAAGTAACAAAGCTAAGAAATTCATCGACGAAGTCTATACAATTAAAGCTGTCAAGCGAAACATTGTGGTGGTTCTTTCCACAGTAAAAGGATCTCGGAAATAAGTATATAACTCTTTCAAGACTAATCACCCATCAGATTCATTTTACTTAACTCTATCGTCGAAACGGTGAGAACTTGTATTCCTGAACCTACTAACAAACAATATACTTTGTATAGCTGTCTCATTTCTAGATTAACATTCAAGTTAAATACTCCGTTAAATTATAGCGCGCCTGTCTAAAGTTATCGGCATCAGCTGCGCTCAAGCTTTAACTTCTCTTGGCTTTAACAAACGTGTTGCCAATTTTCCGTTGTGAGTAGTAACAAAATGCCCAATGTTTCATGGTAGCATTTGTTAACGTTCAGTTAATGCAACAGGTAGCATTTCATGAACGTTTCATGGTAGCATTTGTTAACGTTCAGTTAATGCAACATGTAGCATTTCATGAACGTTTCATGGTAGCATTTGTTAACGTTCAGTTAATGCAACAGGTAGCATTTCATGTACGTTTCATGGTAGCATTTGTTAACGTTCAGTTAATACAACAGAACTGACATTGCAGGTATTCAGGATACACAGGTTCCCCTTCAAAAACAAATCCCATAATCGCCGAAGCGAAAAGATTCTTAAAAGGTAAGAATTTTGCGGCAAGTCTACAATTCCTCTACGAATTTCGTGATTATTTGGCATTATCTTGGCAACAAATTCTATTGAAACTAAGGCACGATGCTCAACTTATCTCGAGATGTTAATAAAAAAAAAGTATTAGCCATGAAAGCAGAATCCTAAATGGCAAACGACCACAATATGGCCTTTAAAACATTTGAAGTGACAGGATATATAAGATATATTTTTCTTTGATGATAATAATAATAATAATAATAATAACACATTGCTTTTCTCATCTACATTCTTGAATGCGGCGAGATTTGCATGCATATTTCTATACAAAGAACAATAGAATTTATTCATTGCGAATTTTAACAATTACAACTTCAGAAAAATTTTTACGCAAGCACGAGGGAAATTTCTCCTAATATTATTAATATAGAGTTCAGAAAATGCGTGACTGCAATTGAACACATCACTATCATTTCTTACAAAACGCGAGTTGTGACTTAGAACATATAAACATATCAGAAATAATCAATGCTTCATGGGGATAAAAGAAAAGATTAGGATATAATTCAGTAGAGAAATTCTACACGGTCCAAAATAATTGCGCAGATTTAGCCAGAAAAACAGTTGATGCCGCAGACAGTTTACAGTGCGGTAATATTTGGAAAAGATATTGATGTTATTTGAATCAAAGAATTTACAATACAAGCACAATCAGAACTCGGATGCAAAATGCTGGCACGGCGTAGTACGTCGTCGCGTCATGCACAAAAACTAAGATTATGTATCTCATAATCATCGCGGGTACATTTGATCAGTTAGAAAACAGTTACACTATTATTCATTGCTCTATGACAATCAAAATACACTAAACTGAATTGACTGAACACTCAAACTTTGGAAAAAATACATGACAAAATATACGTATCATTAAAGCGAATGCAAGAGCACAAGACTACACTTAACTAATCGATCGAATGACATCAACTATAGCTGGCGGAGCAGCTTCATTCCACAAATAAAGCCAATTTAACGCTAAATAATTGTAACTTAAATACGGTGTAGTGAAAACATACATAAAAATTAAACCAATGCATTTTCAAAGCCTTGTAAATGTGGCGGTAGCTCAGCTGGGGAATGAGGGGCGGCTGCTCGGTAGCTGTTGTGTCGGGATCGTCCACAAAGCTTAAAATAAAGTTAAATAAATTCAACTTAGAATAGACGCAGTCAAAAGGAAAAGCCCAGAATTATTCTAAACCTCATTAACGCTTTGGAAGACCAGGTTGAAAATTAGGCGGGGCTCGGGAGCTCGAAACGCTACAGCAGCAGCGAGCGGGTCGTGTAGCGCCCACCCGGGGTGTTGCTATTGGGGGTGTAGGCAGTGGGTGTGCCATAACTACCGGTATTATTAATTAATGGGTGTGCCATAACTAATTATTAACTCCATTTTCTTATTTATTTGTGTTGCCTAGGGTAAGTCAGATATTATAATAATAAACTAAATAGCAGTTAAAGCTGAATTTCAATCGTTGATACTAGAAAGTGAATAGGATTTCTTGAGCGCTACGCATTCAAATATAATATATTCAAATGATCAAGGAGCTCATCTGAAACAACGTCCACGAAATTGATGGCTTAGATACAGGTTGTAATCAAGCGGACCAATCATTCTAGAGCAGATCAAATGATAAATCAAATCTAATGCTGAGGGTAGTGCAGAGAAACCTGAAAATATCCAACATTTGGCACTAAGAAATACTTTAAGATTTAATTTCGCATTAAAAAATACCACAAAAAAACTCTTACACACAAGAATACAAATTGCACGCATTAGGAGACCTTGAGACGGATACATATTAGTATTATACATGGGTATACGTGGATGCATGCGCGCGCAGTAACATAACTGCGGTAATTGATAAAGAAAGGCGCGCGCTCCAGCATTTGCGAGGCGACATGCGGTTCTTAACAGCAACTTGGAGTTCAAAACCATAAAATTTTCAGACGTTTCCACACTAAGACTCAACCTAATGGACGATTATGAAAATTCTCACGAATTCTCCGAGCACCAAATTTTTCGTCCTACTTTTTAATCGGTTACTTTAACTTCACGCACAGTGCACTAAAGGGCTAGAGATTTATACTTGAACTCCGAGGGTTAGTAAGAGGCTATCAAAACGAATAAATCCTTATAATAAATGACTGTGATAAACTCATCATTTCAGTAGCAGGCAACCTAAACTGAGGCATAAAATTTAGGAGGAAATAACATTCAGACGAAAAAAACGCATGGAAAAAAAGAAGGAGGGGCATGGGAAATTGAGAAGCAATATTTTTAACGCCAATCATCTGGAGACCACAGATCTATTTCCATCGTTTTTGATTCGACGGGATAAAGCGACAAATGTTCTGTCTCCTTGATGACGAGGAAGCTATAAAGATATTAAGCAAGCTGGCAAATTGAAACACGTAGTATATACCGTAGTACTTTCAGTTGCATTTTTAGGCAATTAGTCACAGCAATTTTCGGCGAGCCTAAATGAAAGAACTAACGTTTTTGTCTCAGAATGAAACCTTAAATATCTGCACTCTTAATATGATACTGACGATCTAAACGATATTATTGTGATACATCTTAGGCTGCTAGTTCGATCTCATGGCATTAGGAAGAATAAAATGACTTAAGCAGCCAAGGTGCAATAGATATAACGAGTAATATCATACAAACCACGCACGTCTGTCTCACGCAATTTTACATGGATCGCTTCCGCTATCCGCATGCTTAGAAATAAATAGGCATCACAATATTCAAGATTGAACCTTCAGTGTAAGAAAATCAGCATAGCAAGATCTCGATCTTGCACATCTCTTCCTCTCTCTCTTTTTCGGCTATACTGACATGCAAGTCATGGTCATATCTACGGGAACTTCCAACGATAAAAAAAAAATTGAGTAATAGAGTTACAAGATATTTTTTATCCAATAGGTCACGATGATAAATAGCATTTTTAACATATAACTAAGACGGAGATGATTGTCTCCCAAACAATTATTTATGATCAAATCACACACTTATCACTCGCAGTTCGAATATTCAATTCTTACCCAGTGCAGATATTGAGCGCATTTCGCTTTTTGATTACATTTCCGTAAATTCGGATTTACAGTATTTCCATGGACTTACAACACGGCATTCGTTCGTATGGTGCTCTTATCATCAGGAAAAACAATTAAATATAGAATATTAATACAACAAATGTTCTGCCAGCAAAATGAGGAACTGGGACTAAGGGAAATAGCGTTCACTTAAAAAAGGAAGTATTTTATAGCATCAAGAGTTTAGGGCAAAAAAGACAATGAATTCCTTCGATCAAGAACTAATCCGAATGAACACGACGATAAGCCTTAAAGTAAGGAGTAAGGTAATAACCATTACGGTGATTGTAAAATAAAGCATGAAGTAAGAATCGACGACCTCAGAAAGGCTGGACGTAAGACAAGACAGAAAAATTGAAGAAGTAACAACAACTTACGGTAGAATGGATGTTAGCTCAACTATCATCATTCGTTAACCTACAAAGACGCGGTATTAAGGCTCACTCAATTGAGCACATTCATACTCCTACTCGCAGCACAGGGCCCTTGGTAGAAGTCCAGCAATGACGTGGTAGTACAGCCTACAGCAACGTGGCAGTAAGGGCCGCTGTGATGTGGCAGTAAGGCCTACAATGAAGTGGTAGAAAGGCCTAGGATCTTGTTTAGTTCACCTACAACGAAGTAGTAACGAGGCTCAGGTCATTGAGCAGCTTCGTATACTCAGCATCGAGTACACTAAGAACAGGCATAGGCTTGATGGAGACAGGCAAAGCTTTGTAGCGCTGGTCGACGCTACCAGAACATTCAATGGTGAGCAAGGCTTCGAGCAACTGCTCGATGAGCTGCGAACAGTGAGGCGCTAACTGACGCTCGAGTAACTCGCACCACTGGCGACGCACGGCGACAACGGCGTCAGCTTCCTGGCGACACGTTGACAGCTCGCTAAGTGCCGGCACCAGAAGACCAGTGACACAGTGAACGACTTCTTCACCACATTTGATGTTCTTGCTTTCCAGGAAAATTTTGATAAGCTGCTCGTTGAGAGCTAATAGACATTTGCAACGGTATTTCAGGATTACATCCTCTATTGCGCGAAGTGAATCCAAGTTTAGAAACTCTGACAGGTCTACAGATTTAACCATAAATATATCTCTGTACAAATGATGCGATTTCAAGAACAGGGGAAGTGCTTCCCTGTAATTTTTGGTTTCGAAGGCCTTCCAGCCACATACTAGGTGCCAGACAGAGTCAAGTAAGAGTTTGAACTTCTCGTGCCACGCTTCGTACAACATACTCAGGTCTATTGTCTTGAGTTTAGTGACAATTTCAGTGATAAATTGATTGCAATTACAAATAGCAACTTCAACGAGCGGATCTTGCGACGTTTCAGCCAATAAAATCTGGCGAAGGAGGATACATGAGTGCAGTTGAATCAAATTTTCAGCATTCTTCGCCTTGCAATGAAACAAAAAGAGACAAAAGTCTTGCAAGAAATAAGTGGTCGTCTGAGACGGACATGGTTTCCTAGCATCAGTGATGGCGTCGAGGCTGCGTTGTAGAATCCCAACAGTTACGGCACTGATATTGGACTTTTCTTCCGTCTCTGTTTCTTTAAACTTCAATGCTCTCGATTCTAGTTCTTTCTTGAGCAAGGTAGACAGCACACGAGCAAGAGATGATGACACAGACACATAGAAACCAGCGTCCAGGCACTCCTCGAAGCTTGCCGCAGGTCTGCAGATGGTGGGCGAGTTAGGGGCTGTGGGCGGAGGAGCGGAAGCACTATGTGGCCTCGAGGCACCAGAAATGTTACCTTTAACTACAGTTACTCTTGGAAAATTCTCTACTTTACTCAGTTTGCTGTCCCAGTTGTCGATTTCTTCACGGAACGCTAGGTTATCTTGCTTCACATACTCCTGCAGATGCAGAGGGAGAGCGTCAAGGAGGTTGTCACTTGAGTCGTCACGGGGCGGGAACAGCACACTACGGCGGTCCATATCTGTGTACATGAGGCAGTACGCGCTAGCGTTGTTTTGACCACCAAGACTATCTTGCTGGAGTTCCTCCCAGCTGCTCTCGTTCACTTGCACATCGTTATACTTGCGCCAGCCGTCCGGACTTCTTATGTAAACCCAGTAATGACCGGCTGAAGCCTGGCCTTCGTGCACGACGACCGCATGCAGCTCGTACCCAATCCTCATAAGTTCAGGTTCGCTGTACATGCACTTTAAACGGTTCTCGAGCTCATTGATGTGCCAGCACAACTCGGCTTCTGTGTGACGGATCTTGCACTCCCATTGTGATATGCATCGTCGCAACAATGCTAGCTCGTTGTCACTGATTGGGTCTGCTTCAGGAGGATCATAGCGAACATTGAGGCTATCAACTGGCATAGAGGATTTTCCTTCTTCACTGGAGTCCACGTCCATGCTTTCAACGCCACCTTTAACAGGGTCTTCTGATTCGCTCATTCTATCATGAGTTGCCGTCATACATGCATTGTCTACGTCGTCGCTGAGGCAAGATTCGCTAGGGCAATTTTCTATGACAATTTCAGGCATCTCTATCTCAATCTTAGGCGCCGCTTCGTTAGTTTCCTCAACTTGGCTCATCTGCGTCCGTTTTTCTTTGATTGTCCGGCAAGTTTCAGCAAATTCCAGTGAGTAAGCCAGCACGTCTTGCAAAGGATACTTCTTTTCGCCACTGCCAAAGTTCTGGTACTGGCGTAACGTGAGGTTGAGGCACGCAAGCTGCTTTTTGATGGCAGCCACTTGGACATGTTTTTTTCTGACAAGTTGTTTGTTAGCCTCCATGTATCGGTCCATGTATAGGCGATCTGGAAATTCAAATTTGTTGTGCACTTTCTCAGCTCTTTGGGTTGCTTGTGAGAACTCATACCGACTAAGGGAAAATATGAGTACAGGAGGAAGTAATTTAAACCAGCATTCTTGTTGCACTTCGTAGGCATCTTCACTTTTCAAGTCCTCTGAAGAGCAGCTCTTACCAAGTCCAGGCACCGGCAAGCGTACAGACATGGACGCCAAGATACTATCATGAATGTCGCCATACTTGAGAACATGCAGCGGGTACTGGCCAAACGTTTCTTGCTTGGTTACCTGGTCGCCACGACAGTCATCTATACAGATAGGGTCTTTCTTGAACTGCCCATAGAATAGTTTCATGATAGGGTTCGTGAAGAGAACATCTTTGCTTAGGCCGCAACTCTCTTTCTCTTCACCTTCTTCCCTCATGATTTCATTGTACTCAACTTCGAGGCGTTCCAAAAGTTTATGGATGAACTCGCACACGTCTTCTTGCTCATTACGTCGCATTTCAGGATCACCTCCTTGAAATAGACACACACACTCAGTTGGTATGACATATTTTTGTTCAGAAGCCAGCATTAGGGCAAACAGCTTACTCAGAGCTAGGGCAAATTTAGGGTTAGAATCACATTTTTCCTTAGAAGTAGGATTAGAAGATTGACTGGAGGCTGTTGTTCTATAGTTCAGGATCATGTCACGGAAACCAGGTATATGAAACAGAGGTTGGGAAACCACATTAAACCAACATGAGTTCCCTATGTTTAAAAGCCCTACAGGCACTCCAGGCTCTCTCTTTCTTTCAATAGGATTGCACAAATGCTTCTTTGTGACTACATTGGGTAATTCTCTAAGGCTCTCCTCCAGGGCTCTTGACACTTCTCTGTCTTCGGCTGAGACAATCATGACAGAATTATCTACGGCTGGGTTGGCTCCACTGTCACCTCCAGGCTTACCAAAGTGCTGCTGCAGCTGGTGGTGATGCTGCTCTTGAATACTTAATGCAATAGCTTTCTGAAGGTCTTTATCATCACTAAGGTTGGCCACATGGGCCTCTTTGAAACTGGTTCCAGACACAACATCTGGAGAACAGGTCACCCCAGACGGAGGAGTTCTTGCCTCAACAACGGGTAACAACTTCTGCTCAGGCAGCTCTTGCTGCTGTTCAGCTGTAACTTTGGTCGAGTCAGGAGGGACTGTGATGGAGGGTGCCATCTCACCAGGGGGGCTGGGAATGAGAATTCTTTTGTTTTTCTCAGTCCCAGTGCCACACATTCCTTACAACACCTCTCCTCCAGTGTTAATGATGGATACCAACCCTGAAAACATAGATAAAATTAAAAGCTGCACACATACACGAATTTTCACTGAAATTTAAATGGATGATTATAATGCCAAAGTATCAAATTTTGTTATTCATAATGTTTTCTCAAATATTCATTAAGAAAGTCAAATTACCCAACAAGATATTGAAAAAATATTTGATAAATGAGAAAAATACCAATTTATAGTAAATTTCAAGTAATATTGGTATCAGATATCAAATACCGTAAAATGGGGTTACTTTGACCACTTTTCGTTTTTTTAACAAAAACCCCCAAAACTCAAAAATGATTCAACATAGAAACATTTTGTCAATAGCCATCAAAGGCCTAATACTGAGGCTATGTAACACAATAGAAAGATTTAAAAAGTTTGCATATCTATTAGGTTAAAAAATTAATAATGTGACCCACGAAAAAGAGCTATTATTTAAAGCCTGTCGGAGTACCCACTCCAATTTTTTTATTTTTTGGTAAAATAAGTCCAGGTTTTGATGCATTGTAGTAGAACTCTTCTAGTTACATATGCAAAAGACAAATTTTAGGAAAGTGTCATAGTTTGCAAATGGGAGGCGCCACCCCCCAATGGGGGAACTTTGACCTAATATATATTGTGGCAAAATATGACCACCTAATGGCAGCCGTGACGGGGTAACATTGACCTGCTTGGAAATTAAGTTAAAATTACCATAGGTACCTATATAACATATTTTATGTTTGATACACCTATTAATGTTTTTTTCTTTATGTTTCAGACTCTACAGAGTCTTATATATGGTAATTTTAACTTAATTTCCAAACCGGTCGATGTTACCCTATCACGGCTGCCATTAGGTGGTCATATTTTGCCCATTGGGGGGCAGTGCCCCCCCCATTTGCAAACAATGACACTTTCCTAAAATTTGTCATTTGCATATGTAACTAGAAGAGTTCTACTACAATGCACCACAACCTGGAGTTATTTGGAGTTATTTTACCAAAAAATAAAATTGATTTTACCACCCGGTCAAAGAAACCCCAAGAGCTGGGGTAACAAAGACCATCACTTTTTTTGAAATTACATCAAAACTATGAGAGGCAGGAGCCAGCAATTTATGGTGAGTAAAGCTAGAGTATAGACCTATATTTTGCATGTTTCAATTTAAGTTTAACTTATCTAGTAAAAAAATTGCATCATTTTGAAAAAAAAGTGGTCAAAGTTACCCCATTTTACAGTAATTTCAATGTACTTGGTCCAAATATACAACTTTCTGTAAGTATGGAGCCTTGACTAGAGCTTTTACACTTTTTTTGACCAGGTTGGAAAAAGTCCTACCTTTTTTTTTTGAAATATCATGTGTCTAATAGTATCATATAATTTCAGTTGGTTCTGAAATCTTGCAACTCGAATGTCATGTATTTTTGTTTGATTGAAAAAATCAGGTTTTGCACTTTGAAAACATGTCATTCCATAAAATTTTCAACTTTCATAATCCGCATTACCTCAACGCTCCTGCCAAAATATCCTGCAGAACAAAATTACAACATGTCAACCCAAAATGTTTCCTTGAAGATTGTGTAGTTGCGTTCACCTCATAGCAGTCAGACTGCATTATCACATGTTCAGGTGTCACTCAACTTAAGTGAAGATAAATGTTAGTGTTGCTGAACGATTGGACTGTTTTTAGGGTAAAATTAGATATTTGGGGTAACACGTGCACCAGACTTTGTAAATAAGTTGGCAGCTCGTGAATGGCTTTTCATGGCCAAGATATGGAATTTACGACTAAGAAATGGAATTCACGGCTCTAAGGCAGGATGCAGAGGGTGCAAGCAATGTCGCCAATATATGGGTTTTTAAGCCCAAAGCGTCGCCGACCATTTTCAGGATGCGTCGCCGGGTAATTTTTAATGAAAAGCCATTTACGCTGAGTAATGAAAAACTATTTACAAGCCACAAACTTATTTACAAGGTTGCATGCATGTGTTACCCCAAATAACTAATTTTACCCTAAAAACAGTCCGATTGTACAGCAGGTGTCAACTAAACATGTGATGATCCACACTCAGGATTATGTATATTTTCAGGGAATTTTCCCGCGCATTTTGACTTTTTTCAAGCTATTGCGGCGCACAGTTGGTGCAACTTCTGGCCATCCCTGCTTGCACGTGCAAGCGTTGGCGCAGCACGCGTAAGCGTTGGCGCAGCGCGCACATACATTTTGTCAAGGGACAAGAGACAGAAAACGTATAATACTTAATATGCATTTAATTATCTATCAATAATCTATGATTTTCCTTGATATGGAAATTTTGTGAAAGTAAAAATCTAGAAATTTATTTTCGTAGAAATTTTCTACAAATTTCTTATACAAACTGGCAAACATTGTTTGTTTACCTTCTGTAGACCGTCCGGATGTGAGGCAAGTGGTGAATAACCAAATCCTCAGAAATTGGACATATGAAGTATACAAATATGTATTAGTGTTAAATGACAGATTTTGCTCGTTCTATATATACTATTATTGCGCTGATAGGGTTATTAGAGATTCTACGGTTAATGCAAGGAGTCAGAAATAATTTCATCATTGTAATTAATGGAAAATAGTTTTGAGTGCAAAATCTTTTGTAAATAAAATATGTCCTGACATAACTGTCATCAGAAATTCACAACATCGTCTTTACATACTTTTACGCAATGCTGCTTCATCGTCATGTGATGACGTCTCGGACAAATTTACGGCCGTACTTGTGGCCGGTTTCGCGGCTGGACTCTGTACCTGAAATATCTCCAATAAAAAATATGTACCTGAAATATCTCCAATGGCCTAACGGTGATGTCAAGCTCGTGACAATTATTTTTAATATCGCCTTCATTCGTGAGTTATATGACGAAACGTACCGAAATTTGCAGTGTACCACTACGGTGTACCAGCCATTTCTTCTAAAATACTGAACAGATTTTAATGAAACTTTGCATATAGAAGAAGCCTAACCTCCCAACGGTGTGATGTTTAGCTTGTCACAATTTTTTACGTTTTGCCTTTGTTGGCGAGTATTTTTCTCTTTTCGCTCACTTGTGATTTAAACAGCAAAATGGTGTTTAAATTCGCAGTGTACCAGAGATTTCTTCTAAAATACTGAACAGATTTGAACGAAACTTTGCATATAGAAACCTAGCCTCCCAACGATGATGTTCAGCTTGTGACAATTTTTTCGATTTTGCCTTCGTTTGCGAGTTATACGGAGAAACGACCAGCATTTCTCAGGCCGATTTTTAAACTTTCATTGACCAAGAGCCATATACATAAAGCCGTTAGCTAAACATCACCGTTGGGAAGTTAGGTTTCTCTATGCAAAGTTTCGTTCAAATCTGTTCAGTATTTTAGAAGAAATCTCTGGTACACTGCGAATTTAAACACAATTTTACTTTTTAAATCACGAATGAGGGAAAAGAGAAAAATACTCGCCAACGAAGGCAAAACGTAAAAATTGTCACGAGCTAAACATCACACCGTTGGGAGGTTAGGTTTCTATATGCAAAGTTTTGTTCAAATCTGTTCAGTATTTGAGAAGAAAACTCTGGTACACTGCAAATTTTGGCACATTTCGTCATAGAACTAACGAATGTAGGCGATATTAAAAAGAATTGTCAAGCACTTGACATCACCGTTAGGCCATAATGAATATGTGAACCAAGTTTCATCAAGCTATGTTCAGTACTTTGGGAGATATTTCAGGTACAGAGTCCGGCCGCGAGACCGGCCGCAAGTACGGCCTTAAATTTGTCTGAGACGTATGAGTCTCTTGAAGCTATTCATATTTTATTATTGTTTGTTGTTACTTGTTAGTCTATATAATTAACCTTCAAAGTTGCAAAAAATGAGAACTGAAAATTTTAAAAAAAGTGCAGTGCCTGTATTTTTGTTTTCAATGGGTTTGCACCACACAAACCCATTTCTCCAGCCGGGAGGATGTCGGGAATGCAACGTATTCCTGACATTGACATTTGGGTTTGTACTATTTGCCAAAGTCAGTCCTTCGTTAGAAGCAGCCAATCTCAAGCCATGTGGATTGTCGCCTTCTACTATTCAGTTTTGTAATTTATTTCCAACCGAATTGTGATCTATGAATAATTATTCATAACATTGCCGACTCTTAGAACCTGAGTTAACACGTTAGAAATCTACTCAACGTGATGCAGATATTTGTTCGTGTGTGATAGCGTTGCCGGGCATTCATCTTTAAACAACTTTAGGAGCACGGCACAGGCTGGCGCACGGTGCACTTTTTTACTGGCATATTATGGCGCATGGCGCAAATTGATGCAATGATAATAAAATTCCCGCGCACCTGGCACATCTTCCTGACCGTGGGTGATGATGCATTCTGACCGCTCTAATGTGACCGCAACTACATTTTGTTTACATTTTTTTGGTGGGAACTCATTGCAACCGATTTCCGGACAAGCTTTACTGCATCCTGATCCATTCAATGTACTGGAAACCTTACTTTTTTTCTAAATAGTTGGCCGAAGACTGACAAATATATTAAATGCAAGAATTACAATTTGCAATCTAAATGTGTCGGCAAGATCTTCTGAAGGCGTAAATTTTGCTACTGAAGCATTGCCAAAGATCTTGCAATATTCATCCACTCTTTGTTTGAAAGCTGAGGTAATGAATAGGTGCCATAAATGTTTTTTATATTTAATTTGAAACTATTATGTTGAGAGTAAATAGTAGGGTAAACGCGGTATATTCCCTCATATTAAGGACGCATCAAGAAATGAAAACTATAAAAAAATAACCGTATGCCGGTATGCGTTACCCAAGTTCTGTTTGCTTTATGTGACTCTCAAAACACCGCACTACGTGTCAGCAACAACGAAATGTCACAAAATGTTGCCATATTTATTTAAAAGCCTTTAGAATGGAAACCTACCAAATCCCTATATTCCGTCACTGTGTGTGGCAATATTCAGCACGTGGTGAGGTGTATTCCGTCTGCGCTTCAAATTCTACTGATACGTAATGCCGTCATCCACGTGTTCGAATTCCGTTCGCTGTGTGAGCTGTATTGGAATACAACACGGCTTTGAATTAGAATACTAATGAATATTGAACACTACTTAATTACGTTTTTAATTAACAACTATTAAGCTTTTAATTAAGCAAATTTTAATTTTTGTACACAGCTTGGAACGATCTGTGTGTGTCCAATTCAAGTTGTAACGGAATTAGTTTTCATGTGTCTAAATGATTAATATTTAATTAATAATAATATTAATTAATAATTAATTAATTATTAAATTAATAGATGATTAAGTTGATAAATGGATTTAGACTAAATCCATTTCTCAACTTAATCATCTATTAATTTATTTACCACTTGAAATCAGCAAATACAAGTATACTTATAGGATTCCTAATATATTCACAGTCAATCACAGACGTATTTAAAAGTCTCAATTTCACTCTCAAATCATAATATTCTTCCTATACAAACAGTTAGTATTCACTATTTGGTAGAGCAAGGTCAGCTGTCAAATTTGACACATTTTTCGATGATCTCACTGGGTAGCATGCATCGTCTCTCTTTGGATCTCAATACTTTCCCACTAGATGGCCAAGACCTAGTGTTTTGGCATTAGTTTGACGTGCAAATGTATGACGTCACCATTTCAACCATCAACGAACGCATGGAACTAAAACAAAGCTTAATATAAAGGAAAAACTAGAGAGGTGACGGAAATCAGAATTACCCACCATAGTGGCAAACCAGAGCCTTTTTAGAATCAGTTCATTTTTAATTTCCTTATTTACTCAAGATTTAAACCAATTTCTTAAGTATGATAATGCCTGTATCCAGGATACTTTACTGGTCTACTTACAGGACTCAAAAATGAACTTGAGGTAGAGTCTAATAAACTCTCTGCTTTGCCACTATGTTACCCACAATGACGGAATATACCGCGTTTACCCTATTTCCTTCTGTAGATCCATCCCTCTTGCTCATCTGTGAGTGACGTGCGCAATTAACCATCTTGCATGGGACCTTCTCTGTGTAGACTGTGACTGTGTTGCCTGACTACTAGTCTGGAAAAGTCCTATTTTTGTCTGAAATATCGCGGCTCTAATATCATATAATTTCAGTAGGTATGAAATCTCTCGGCTCGAATGTCATAAATTTTTGTTTGATTGAAAAATCGCGGTTTGCACTTCGCAAACATGTCCTTTCATAAAATTTTCAACTTCCGCAATCCGCATTGCTTTACCGTTTCCGCCAAAAATATCTTACAGAAAAAACATATCGGTGAAATAGAATCACGGCTCGTAGAAATGGAATCACGGCTGGCAAATCCATAAAACCACGGCTTGAAAAATTCAGTCGCGGCTTGCCAAGTAGATATATTCCATACTAGCCTGACTAGCTGACAGCCTGACTTGACATTCATATGATCATAGCTAGGTACCATAACCGAAGTGGGAAGCCAATTTCTGACGGCCTGCAAACCTGTTTCTAGTTGCCTGGAAAGTTTTTTTTTTCTTAAGGTGGAATGCTTTTTTTTATGTGAACCACAAATTTTAGAATTCCAGCCTGATTATTATTGTCACTACAGCACACCCCAACACACAAATTAATAAAATCATAAATGGCACTATGATAAAATTAAAATGACAATACCTATAAATTTATATGCACCAACTTACCAAGCACATCTCCCTGACCATGGCAAATTAGATTTAGGTATATGGTGAGAGTTGAGACGGGTGAGTGTCTGTCAATGACTGTCATACTGTCGCTACGACGCTACCTTATGCTTATAAACTATTGAATTGATAACTTAATATAAAAATGCTAACAAGCATCAGTATTCGTTAGAATTGTTACTAATGAATGCTGATAGCCTACTTTTTAGTTTTTAGCATTAGTAGCATTTAATCCTTCATTAGTTAGTAGGTAGTAATGACGTTTTTCTCGTGAACTTGGTCTTGGTAAGTTGGTCCTCTTGGGACTTGGTGCATATATTTTTTCCATTAATAACTCCTACAAAAATAGAACCACGGCAACCACCGATGTGCGATGTCTATTTACTCTATTAGGAATAATTATGTAACTTACAAAGCATGATCATAGTAAATAAAAAGCACCTACACGTATTGGTTGTCGGCTGTCGCTCTGTCGGTCTAAACCAGAAAAATTCTAATGACGTAATTCACTGATAAACCACTCATCGTTTTTGGCATTCCATCAAGCTTGTCTGAAACACGGATCATACGGATGGTGGCTCTGGCACGAAAAATGCGGATTTAAGTTGCTCATAGTTTCAAACAGTAATGCTAAGTACGCAGTTATGCACGTCCCGATATTAAACAGAAATATGTTGCATCTTACACTACAGGGAAATGTGTAAAATCTATTTAAAGAAGCTGCAAGCAACATTTTTGGCCAAGCCACAAGAAAATACGTGCCGACACCAGTTGCGGATGAAAATATGTTGTTGAATATAGAAGACAAACAATTTTTCGTGTAGACGAGCGGTACTCCCATTGTTTTAACTATATAAGGTTGACCCACGAGAACTTCCGTCTTTCAGTTCAGCTCTCAAACGTAAACAAACCCGTCCCATGAAAAAACTGCGCTGCAATTTCTCCACGCGACAAAATTTCTTCTCGCTTCGAATCACCGACATGTGGAACAGCCTCCCCGATGACATCGTTGGCACCGGATCGACACTTCAGCGACGATTTTATATCTTCTGTGAACAAGGCACGAAAAGAAAAAGAATCGGCGACAGGCCACATCAGAGGCCTACACTGCAGCGTCGAGATCACTATGTTATGTTATGGCGGATTGGTTGACTGGGTTGAACGCATTTCGGTGATTGGTTAATGCCCGTGACGTCACAGAGATATAGTAATGTCGGCGCTGACGAAAAGGCTTAAGGTGGCCTGTCGCCGATTCTTGTACTTTTTGTGACTTGTTCACAGGAGATCTAAACAGGCCTTTTGACCAAAACTTTTATAAACTGACGTTAGTTTAAAATAGCTATTAGAGTTCTGCTAGGTTTGAATGGTGCTACCGGTAGGCATTTCAAGTCCGAACACATATTTCTCTATGGCTTTATCTAGTCTGTTCTTGAACTTGTTTATACTCTGAGCATCTACGATGTAATCCGAAAGGCTGCTCTGATGTCGGTGTCTCGAAGCGAGAAGAGGTGTTGTCGCGTAGATGAGTTGCAACGCAGTTTTTTAGTTTATAGCCGTGGCCCCTGGTGTTGGTTCTTGTTTCATATTCTAGTAATCCTTCTGGGACCTTGAATAAACCATGAGTATACTTGAATACTTTAATGAGGTCACCTCACACTCACAGTAGTGGATATCAGCGGCTTGGAAGCTTCATAATATTTAATTTTTCCTCATGAGACTTGCCCTTCAAGACTCGAATTATTATCCTTGTTGTATGTCTCTACGTCTTTGAACGTGCAACACTTGTTCCCATAAATCGTAGACGTAGAGTGACTTGTCTCAAAACTGGTAGGTATTGAATATTTTTTAATTGTTTCTTTTTTAACTATTTTTATATAATATCCTCCTGCGAGACATTCAGATAGTGAACTCGTGCTTGAACCAACACATATAAACAAACAATCATTTGTTCAATCTCTAGTAAATCAATCTACGATCTTCCCATGACTGGCATGAGGCAACATATCACCTACTGTACCGAAGATTTGTTAGGTTTGCAGAGTAGCCTTTGTTAAGGCGTGCAGAGTAGCCTTTGTTTGTTAGGGCGTGCAGAGTAGCCTTTTATTTGTTTGCATTTATAGAGTTTGTCGAGTCGCATTTGCATTAGATATTTAGTAGTCAAATATTTATTTGTGAGCTCTAAACTTTCGAGTGCAACGCGTTTTCGTAGCCAGTTTACCACCAGCAGCTCTTCTTTCTAAACGAACTAGAATTACTAGATTTTCACAATGGCTAAAGTAAACATTGAAATCGGCGATAATTACTAAGATAGTCGCATTTTGGTAAGCTAGAATATATAAATGAAATAAAGGAAATAATTAGTGTAAATCAGTTTTGGATCCTTGATGTCTGACTAATTATTATATTGAGATATTTTGGAGTCAGATCAAGCAGAGGAATTTAACTTGTCGCGAACACCAGAATTGCGTACTGATGTCGGGTAGATCCTACAGAAAAATTCAAAATTTAAAACATAAAATTCAGAGTAAAAGATTGTGGCAGTGTGTTGTGGCTTGTGGGTTCGATCCCAGCTACCTGCGACAGATCTGGTCAAATCTACGATGTGGCCGGGTGCTTAAGCTCATCGAAATTGGAGCAGTGATTTGCATGATTAAGACCTGTGGCAAGCTGTGAAAATACTGCGATATACAGCGTCGGCAACAGGCCGAAAGGCCTAATAAACGTTGACATCGCTATTATTTATTAATATAATGCCTCTCATATCTAAATGCAGAGGCCATAAACCAAAACTATGTTTGAGATGGTCAACGCGCCGTCCAGTGACCAGTGAGCCTGAACTGCGGGATTAGTTGGATGTGTAAAGTGAAAAATTTCATGAGGAGACGACCCTGTCCCACCAGACACGTAACGTTGAATCAAGGTTAAATTAAACGTTGTTTGATTGAAAGGACGTTAATTCAACTATGTTTACATATCCTTCGCCTAGTGGGTGCTGGGTGTGTTGGAAGAAGTCATGAACTTATACCAGTTAGAGGTGCAAGTATGCCCAAAGACGGCATTTGAGTGCTCTCCAAGTTTACTTTGCGTTTTGTGATAAGGTCTAATATGACTAGGTAGTTTTAGGTTGGTAATATAATTTGCTTTCATTTAATCATTTTTTGGATATTGTTCTCTTCTTTACATTCAATGATTTGTGTTCTCACATAACGCCTTCGTTCCTGGATTTTAGAAAGTTGTATTCGTTTTGTACCATCAACGTTCGATGGTGATGGCAGGTACATCGTATATTTCCCGCCGCAATTTGTTTCGATTTTCCTCGAGACAATTCTTTGGGCTGGCCATAGTGGCGAAAATAAATCTGACCGAGGTATCAGAGGCATTTATTATAGGCATTTATTATCGGTAGTTAAATGGAAAATTTATAGTTTGATGCAATAATCTATAAACACTACCATTTTATAATTATCACCAATGTCTTGACGTTTAGGAATAATAAGTCCGCAAGGAGCATAGGATGTTTATTGTTACAGGAGTACTGCCCATTATATTAATAGAGCGGTAATGGGTTGATTAATTCCAGTCCTGAAGGATGTAAGGTGAGCATAGGGTCCGAAAGCTCCTCAGAAACGTTTCGGCGAGCGGTTACAAAGTTCTACTGTACGCGTAACGAATTGCTGCTGAACGTAATTATTCGGCCAATTGTTCACTGCGCATTAGTGACATATGTGCATAGGAGTAATCAATAGTAGGAGACTCAAACTGCTACGTTCGTTACTCGTGGACCTGATTTGATTAGAGATTGAGACTTGATCTTATGGGACCATCTGACTAGACTGAATCTCATAGGACCATCTGACTAGACTGAATCTCCAGGGACCATCTGACTAGACTGAATCTCATATAGGACCATCTGCCTAGACTGAATCTCCAGGGACTATCTGACTAGACTTGATCTAGTGGGACCATCTGACCAGACCAAATCTTAAAAGATCATCTGACCAGACTTGTTCTTATGGGACCATCAGACTAGACTTGATCTCATGGGACCAACTGACTGGGCCAGTTTCCATGATACGAGGCCGGATCTGCGATAGGCTTGTTCCATAATGAATAAAAAATTAAAAACTGATTAAACCAGCAACTACCCAATTAGAACATTTTTCCGAAAACGAACAACTATGCCTCATCAGTACATATATCCGAAAATGTGCCTAAATAGTTTTAATATTATAAGCTAGCTCGAAATTTCATGAACAATAATGGACAAAATTACAGACCATGAATACAGTAACCACTTAATTCTAATTGCGAAACAAATCATACCCAGCATCACAAATTGATTTTATATAGTTTGATTTTTGTTACTTTTTAGCTGCATTTCGATTTTTTTAGCTTATTTGCATGCATGTTTTTATGAGGTTTAAAATCATAGATTGTAATATATAGTATAATTGTGTTAGCTGATGAGATAACATCAACGTTGGTTCCTCTTCAGTAAATGTTGACAATTGGTGTTTGTTTTGAGTTAAGGTTTCGTACTCGAGCCTACAGAGGAGCATCAAGCTTACATATAGACACTGAAGTAAGGTTACATTTGTCTCTCCGTTTGATAAGAATTAAGAAACCAATGCAAGTTTTCTATGCGTAACAAGCAGAGAAAGCTTACCACAGAGTTATTTCAGAAAGACGTAGATAGTTCACGGCTATTGAACGTTGTTGAACAAAATGGCGTACTTTAATGATTCACAAAATGGTGTACACTTCTCTTTATACGTGATACCAACAAAGTCAAAGTAGGTACTTAACTAGATCAAAATTATCTCAACTGAATTAACTACATTGATGAGACCAGGAATGATAGAAACGGTATTAATGGCTGAATTTTTCTACAAAAATGCACTAAAGAAACATTTGAATTAAAGTAAAAATGAAGGAGATCAGGGGCACGCTATGCTGATTCTGTTTTAATTTTTCATATCGTAGAGGCTTAGCGCCGGCTGATGCAGCAACTTCGTCATGCCTGGATGCTCTCAATACCATTGCAAAATACTCGAATATTTTATTTAAAAAATTATTTTCCGATCGATAATAATCCTGCATCATGAGCACTAGGAATTTACGACATTAATTTAATTTGCTTCCTTAACAAACTAATATATTTTTATATATGATTTTACTCTCTGAGAAATTCGCTGAGATTTTAAAATCTACTATAAATCTCGAAATAAATAATTTGGCTGCCTTTGGAGCGGTTGCGTGCCCGACATAATAACTGGTATCTCGCCAGGGCCCGCGACGTTACTTGAGGAAGGTTGGGGGAGTCTGTTCAGAGGCTGCTGGGGATTACGACGTCCCAGAGCGTCCATGTTGAGACCACAGCACCGAACGCCTCTTGCACGCATGTTTCCGCGGATCGGAGTTCAGTAGCTGGAAATTAAACAACCTAAGTTTTAGTATGGGCACTAACATTAGTGATTAGGACTTTAAGTGGGATTATAAGTTATCAACCAACAAGAAAAAATATCAATCCATGCCATTCTGTGCAGAATTACAGTAGAATGTCAAAGAAATAGATTGGAATTCGCAAGAACTAGTAAAGCAATATTAATCAATATTATGAGTTAAATTAATTTTCAATCATTGACTTAAACATATAAATTCTCTCACGAACAATTTCCAAGCCAATATACTGTCCCCACATGTTAATTTTAGGGGAGCGCACGCTTCTCTTGCCGATGGTCTGAAGGAACTCTTGGTTCTGACGCGCTCTGGACAACTGCTGGCGCTGCCGCAGCAGGGCGCTCTTGAACAGCAGAGCTTGGCGTAGCACCTGTGGTCCAGGGAGGTACTGTCAAAACTTGCTCGAGTATACGTAGCGGCCTATATACACGCAACGGCCCAAGTACATGTAGCGGCCTAAGTACAAGTAACGGGCTAAGTATACGTAGCAACTTTAAGAACACTTAGCAGCCTAAGTACACGTAACACCCTGAATATACGTAGCAACTTTAAGAACACTTAGCAGCCTAAGTACACGTAACGGCCTGAATATACGTAGCAACTTTAAGAACACTAGGCGGCCTAAGTACAAGTAACGGCCTAAGTATACGTAGCAACTTTAAGAACACTGAGCAGCCTAAGTACACGTAACGGCCTGAATATACGTAGCAACTTTCAGAACACTGAGCAGCCTAAGTACACGTAACGGCCTAATTTATACAGGTTTGATTGAAGACCAGAGCGTATTTTATATTAACAATTTTCTTATTGTTTTTTTTATGAGCCGAATGAAATTTCTTGCAGGTGCTTGGAGATCAAAAAGCAGATCACCAAATGACATTTTACTGGAATATATCGAATATATCAAAATTCATCATCAAGCAAGTGAAGAGTTATTATATTATTATAGTCGTTCTATATATATTATATAGTATATATAGAACTTTGGTAATCCGCTTTGGTAATCCATATATATGTCATTTGGTAATCCCCTTTTTGATCTCCAATCACCTGCAAGAAATTTCGTTCGGCTCGTAGAAAAAAAAAACAATAAGAAAATTGTTAAAAAAAAGTACGCTCTGGTTTTCAATCAAACCTGTATAAATGAAGAACTTCTGCCTAACTACACTTATAGTAACGGCCCAAGTATGCGTATCAACTTTAAGTTCACGCAGTGGCCCAGGTACTCGTAGCGGGTTTAATATTCATCAACGGTCGTTAATTAAACTTTCGAAACTAGAAAAAATACGTCTGAGTGTTCGAGGTTACCAATATAAATCAAACACTTGTATAGTCGATAATATAAAGCTTTGATTCATGTCTGCTGAGGAAAAGTAATGTATCATGTTGTCAAAATGGTGGCACACTTCCTATACGTTATACTGGTACCCCCATTTTCCAGGCAAAACTGGGTTATGATGATACAAACGAGGGCAAAAAAATACATGGACAAGACTCACTCATTTCAGTGAGTGAAGAGATAGATAACTCAGAGAAACTAAAGATATTTGTCCAAATGGCGATGCACTTCTTGCCCTTGTTTGAGGCAACTGACACTTTTGAGGCATCCTGCTACTCATAATGAACGTATAACTATTTCGACAAAATAAATAATTCTTTTTTTCCGAGTGAGTTCAAAGCGATGGCGAACGACAGACCTGCATGGAGGCGTCAATGGAGAGAGAAAGCCCGCGCCCCTGGCCCCGCATGCCGGGCCCTTTGCCCATTAACAAACTCCTGCTGGGGGCGCTGGCCCCCACAAGACTGTTGGTGGCGGCGCCCCCCACACTGAGCGATCCTGCCCGCTTGTATAAAGCAACGTCCGCACCTGACACATAGAAATTCTGTATAATAAATCATAGAAATGAATTCATGCTTATGAGTATTTCTTTAATGATTAGTAATGTTTCGAATTGTTTTGTTGCTGCACTCACGCACCTGCTGAAAAATAAACAAATGATTAATTTAATTTAAATAATTTATAGAAAACATTTAAACAAAATCTCAGGTGAAGTATTCGTGTTTATCTTATATTGCATCTAATTACAAATTAACCGAGATGCGTCGTTTTCACACGTACGTGACGGCCAATTTATGAATGACACTACTAACTATGCCAAAAAAGACTTCAACATGTTTATATGTTCATTCTGTGTTCATTTCATCAAGTTATTCGAGCAAGTTTTGGTGTCACAGGAAAAGAAATGTCCGATCAAGTCCAAGTCTCCAAATTTTTCCCTCTCAAATTGGCTGCACGATTAAAAAGGCCGTGGGCATGAATATAGGGATAGGCAAGTAGAATAGGTATAAAGCACTGATAAAATTATTAATAAAAGTTTCTCTCTGATATTGCATTAAACTTACATAGAAATGGACCAGTAATTTCTGCACAAATCTTTCACGGGGTTGAATATAATATTACACTGGATTCGATTAGCTTGCACGGAGTTCATTTCTGCTGAATCGTGTTCATCATTCCTGTTGAATCGTGTACATCTTTCTTGTGGAATTGTTTACATGGATCATTCATTTGAATCGGATACATCATTGCTCTTGAATATTGTACATCGTTCTTGTTGAATCGTTTACTACATCATTTTTGTCGAATCGTGCACATCATTTCTGTTGTATCGTATACATTATTCCTGTCAAATCGGATGTAATCTACAATGTTAAAAGTTAGTTCTACCATAATCCTAAGTTCTACGATGATCGTACATTATACAATGATGGTAAGTTCTGCAATGGTCGTAAGTTCTGTGACAGTCGGCCGTCCTACATTGATCTCAAGTCGTAAGATGGTCGTACGTTCAACGATGGTCGTGAGTTCTACGATGGACGTAATTTCTGTGACAGTCGTACGCCCTACTTTGATCGCAAGTCGTAAGATGGTCGTAAGTTCAACGATGGTCGTAAGTTCTACGATGGACGTAATTTCTGTGACAGTCGTACGTCCTACTTTGATCGCAAGTCGTAAGATGGTCGTAAGTTCAACGATGGTCGTAAGTTCTACGATGGACGTAAGTTCAGCGATGGTCGTAAGTTCAACGATGATCGAAAGTTCTACGACAGTCGTACGTTCCATTTTGATCGCAAGTTCTAAGATGGTCGTAAGTTTCACGATAGTCGTACGTTCTACTTTGATAGCAAGTTCTAAGATGGTCGTTAGTACTATAATGGTGGTAAGTTCTGCGATGGTTGTTAGCTATACGATGGTCGTAACATAAGCTATACGATGGTCTTAATTTCTAAGATAGTCGTACGTTCTACCATGATAATAGGTTCTACGATAGTCTTAAGTTCTACGATGATCGTAAGTTGTACGACGTTCAACAACCGAAAAGTTCAACTACCTTGAAGAGAATCGCTGCCTTCGCCTGACGCAGCTAGCGCGTTGAGGACGTTCACGTAATCGCTTTCCCGCAGCTGTAACAGGAACATAACAAATGAGCATTAAATTATTATCATAATCATAGTCGTTACATGAATTACTTATCAAATTCAATGAACACATTTAAGACCGTTGTTAAAAGTCTGCACATGTGATTCTTTGGGGCTTTAGCAAAAAAAAATTGTTGGTCCGCTGACGATTGACCAGTATAGGAATACTACAGTATACAGTATAGATTCAGTATATAGGAATACTGACAAGCAATAAAGTGTAGCTTTAAATTGCCATTTTGTATGAAGACTCCATTCACAAAGCATCATTCATTTCTTCTTTAGAAAAGTCTGTCAAAGAATCTCTAACTGCAATTAAAGTTTTCGACTTCTGTTGTTTTAAATTTCGAAAATTTAAATAGATTTATCTTAACTCAATGGCTGGCTGTATTTCTATAATCGCTGAGTTAGTTAAAATGTCATGTTAATGGAGGTTCATCTGTGGAGGTTCATCATAAACAATCCTGAGTTGAAATTCTACGAGGAAATCGACGCGTTTCATTGTACGTTTCAAAACTCCTCCTGGACTCGGCTCCAATTGCCTGGTTTCTTCACCTACGAGTTTTTTGTGCGTTTTTTTTTTAAGAAATCAAAAACTGCCTGGACAATAAATTCAGGATTAAAATTGATATTACTACAGACGTGAAGTTTCATCGGACCCTTTATGACGCTCCGAGACCATCGGCTTTCAGTTATGGAAAGAGGGAAAGGTCGGGAAAGCTTGTAATTGCTCACTCTATGTTCTGAAGTCCAGTGAACATTTTTGCATCGAAGGAGATTGATTAAATTAAACATCAATAAAACTGTTTACAAAAGGGGTTTAGGGCAATTTATTTTTTTTTAAATTGAGTGGGAAATATTTTCTGTTGAGGTTTAATTATATTTCGTTTTATTTTATCTATGAAATTTTTACAGACACTTCTTCTCAGAGTAAGTGGCAAAGCAACGAAAATGTTGCCATAATTGAGGTCATGTCATGGTATTGCGTAATCAAATGTTGATTTCATTGTTAGGAGCCATCAGTTGTCCAAAGTAGAGGCAAATGATGGCTCCTACTTCATTTTGTGAAGTAGGATCATTTACTTAATTAAGAGCAATTTTCAGAGGCTCATCGAGCGATGTAGTGCGGTCACTTGCCCTAAATCGGGAAATTTTCTGAGTTTTGTCGAAAGATGTTTGCGATCGCTTGCCCTAAATTGGGAAATTTAAAGAGGCTAGTCGAAAGATGTGTTACCCCTGGCTAGTCGCCCTGTATAAGGAAATTTCCAGAGTTTACTCGAAAGATATTTTACGATCGATTACCCTAAATAGGGAAATTTCCAGAAGGTTATCGAATGTTGTTTTTCGATTACTTGCCCTATATGGGGAAATTTCTAAAAGCTGGATGAGAAACCATGCATAGGTTCGGTTGCGTCCAGATCTCTGATTTTCCATCGCAATGCAAACCGCTCTCGACAACCACCAAGTGCTCTTCGCCTTCACAAATAGAACTCCATGATGAACTTTCTTGATTGATCTCAAATCAATTAGGCAAAATCGAACGTATTTGATGAATCCGAGTCCGCATGAATCAGCGGCGGGTTACACTCAGTTAAAATGTTCGGTTACATGACGTTGGTCTACGAAAGGCCGATGATCGTTCGCCGATGATACGTCGATGATACGCCGATGACTTTAACCAGGGCTAGCTTGAAGCTGCATAATTGCAACGCTTGCTTGTTTCCAGTTCAGTACATGCAGCGTTGCAGCCAAGTAAATACTGCCGTCATCGGTCCATCCTGAATGACTTGGGGATGCGGCCGAATTCCAATTTTGAAATTGATTTATGCTCACTGGGTGAATAATATTATGCGTGAACCTATCTTTGACGATTGATCCAATTTCTTCACATGACTGTGATGCACATTAATAAAAAATTTCTAACCTTAAGTTTTTCAGTCAAGCTCCGTGCTGATGACATTGAATGTACAATATCCAGATTGATTATCTAATTACTTTTCGTCCAATCTTATTTTCATTGCTAGTAAACAAATTAATGACTATCATTAAAAACTAACAATATTACCATTTATATTAACAAGAATTAATTACTATTACCTAAAAACTGGGCTCGCACCAAATTAAGTGAAACATTATTCTCAGCATTTTTCTTGTATAGAAGAAAATTTCCGGACGTTTTCTTGAAGAACTCAAAAATGCCAGTCAAAATTAAATTTTTCTCCTAGCGTCATATTTTTGATGTCAGCAAGGGGACCGGAGCGACGACTTTGCAAGTTACAATCCAGAATTCCTCTCATTTAAATTCTGAGTTGGCGCAGGAAAAGATTCGTTGCTGCGTGTCAACTAGATTTCTAGGCAATTTATTGCAATATAAACTAAAAAACTTTCATGCCTGCTCTCTGAAACTATATTGAATTAATGTTCGAAAATTGCATCAAGATTAACGTCAAAAGACTTCTAAAAATTTTTAGAGGCATTTTAAATTTTAAAAAATTTTAGGCGTACTTTTAATTTACCAATAATGCTGTTAAATGAACTCATGTCAAGAAAACTCCCCCTGTCTCATTATGCTGGGATGCGTGAACATGCAACTTTCCGGAAACTTTACAACATTCTACGAAAACCTGGTCGGTTTTTATATGACATTCCAGATAGATGGCACTTGCGCCTTCCACATTTTACGAGTTCAGTATTTTATGGCGCGTTGGATTCTAGTCAAATAGAACCATGGTAAAGTCCGAGCAATCTTTTTGACTTTGATCTTGCAATTTGACAGGCTAGGCCTTCACGCTCGGTGAGAGGCAGAAAGTTTCTCGTGCGGTGCCGTGTGGGGGAAATTAGGCAATTATCGAGATAGCCGGGCCGTTTAAAGACAAATGCAAGGCGTCGAACTGAGTAATAAAGTGGGAGGTTATTTTAGTGTTCAGGGAACATAAGGAAAAGCGATTTCTGATAATTGGAATGTTTCTGGAAATTCGGAAAATATGAGACACTTATCGAACCACTTTCTCGAGAAGGTGTAAGAAGGGAATGTGGGAATGTGAGTACGGGTTACGATAAACTGCTTGTCGTTGCCTGCGTATATATCACGTAAGAATCAGCACTTAACCTTGAATGCGCCACGAATTGATAGCATTGAAGCTCGTTAGGTTAATGGACATATATTCTTCATTGTGAATTGCAGTTGTTTCACTTGCATTGGAATCCAATTGCATGGCGTGGTTCTTTTGAGATTGACTGTCGTCTGCAAGTCTCATAGCGGCGCTGTTGAGTGCTGGCGCAATCGCGCGGCTCTCTCGCTGATGAAGAATCTTATTCAAAAGCTCGTGGTGCCGATCAAGCTTTGGATGTTCCAAAGAACATAGAAGTGAAGACTTTAATTTTTAATGAAATTGATAGAACAAAGAACTTTAAATGTTCGAAGATGCTCCCTGGAATGATAGTCAGGAAGTTTCAGTTCAATTCGTGCGACAAAACCGAGGCTAACATCTATCAGACTGCTTGCGTTCACTATTTTACGTTGAAAGCTTGTTTTCTGAACATTTTGAATCTTACCAATTGATTAATGAACATGACGATTAACTCCATTAAAAATGGTTACAATTTTAGCACGCAACAATCATGCTTATAGTTCAGCGCATATTTATTCTTCATTATGTTTGCGGTGCTTTATGCAGCATTCAGATCAAACCACAAGACAGCAGAGACCATAATTGTGTTTTGCATTTTTTTGCAGTCAACCAGAACATTTTTATGAAGGCAAAGGAATCTAAAGTTATTCCAATATTATATCACAGTTAAAGTTTACAATTCACTGGTTCGTTATTTGAGAGTCTTTTTAATAGATTAATAGATCACTCATTACAGTGTTTCTTTAATATTTGTCTGCCAGTTCCAATTTTTAGACCTAGGAATGGCACTGAAAACAGCCAATATTTCTACTGTTAATGGATAAACTCGTTGCCAACTATAATTGACTTCCGCTATAAGGCCCTAATCAATTAGTTAAGATCGATTAGCAACAATGATCGCAATGATTAAAGTATATAAGTATTGAAGGCTCAGCTCTGTGTATAACTTGACCGATACATGTCCCATCTCCCTAAACTCATTACTATCACAGTCTATAAATGTTCTTGAGAAAATTACACGCAGGGCCGAATTTAAAATATTCGACGAAATAAAGTAAATTCACTACCATCACGTCTTTTAATATATTCTTAAGAAAATTACTCACGGGGCTGGGTTTAGAGTTAAGGTATCTGTCCAGGAATGCCATCTCCTCCTGCCTGTCGTCGCTGCTGTCTTCTGGATGAGAGTCTGAGCTGGATCCTGACGAGCTGTAAAAACATGAATGATAATAATGATCTGAGACCAGAATACTCATACCATTAAAAACTTGACGAAAGATTCCAACACAGGGAAACTGATTCTGAAAATTTATGAAGGATTTGTAAACATTTCTCTGCGTAACAACTGCCGAAGTAGGATCGTTTTATTAAAGACAATGTAGAAATAATTCATTGAAACTTTGTTTGACAGAAATAAATTGCTTAATTTATTTATTCTTTATTCGTTCTTTATTCGTTATTCTTTCACACACAGAAGCAACACAGCACGACTCAATAGAAAGAGAAAAATAAACATGCTATTTAGAAATAAATGCTTCCAGGTGAAAGGCCTATACAAGCTATAAAAAAGATTTGCAGGCGTAATAGGTGACGAGTATGAACATAATAGTGGCAACAAGTACAAAAAAAAATATTATGCAATGGTCAAAAAAATATTTGTTGCTTGTCCTGCTCGCTCAATTAGGGACTGCTTTTTGGGACCCTCCGATGCCCCAGAAGTTTTGTTGGCCGCCAAACCCGAAGCGGGAAGTTTGGAGCAATGAAATCTGTATTTAATGTAGTGCCAGGTTTAAATTGGTAGAAGTGTAATGTATTAATTAATTTTATCATTTTCGTTTCGTATTAGTGCTAAAGGTTATGGAAATTAGTGATTATTGTTGAAGAAATACTTCTGTCTTAGCCGTAAAGATTTGGATCTAAACTATGGCAAGAAATCAATCCTTTATCTATGAAGTTACAATTAATTTCCTTTACAGGCACTCGAAATGAAAATATTACTACGAATTACCTTTTTGACTTGTCTTCAACTTATGACTTGAGAAAAACCTATAAATTCTAACGATAATAATTAACATTACAATTATAAACACAAAAAAATTAACTCAGTACTTACTGCAGTGAGTGACAGAGAGTGCATTTCTCGTCGACGAAAACGTGAAGTCACGGACGGACAGACAGACGGACAGACGGACGGACATGACGAGCACAATGGGGCATTTTTTCCATAAATGAGAAAATGCGCTTAAAACAGTGGTTCCCAAAGTGGGCGATATCGCCCCCCTAGGGGCGGTGGAAAGATTTTGGGGGGCGGTAAGAAAGAAGAGGACGGTAGGGGGGCGATAGGGGGGCGATAGTCCAAAGTCAATGTCAGAAGTGCGAACATTGTTTGACGATTTGTACACAACACGTGCAGCACCTGACTCCCAGCGATGGTTTTTTCACCCAGATCTGTTTTTTAACCTCTCCTGGGTTTACGTATTGGACAAATTAACGGCCGGACTCGCGGCCGGTCTCACGGCCAATTCCAAAATTTATTGATCAAGGAATGTCTCTCAAACTAATGAACTTAACTCGATGAAACTTGGTACTCGTATTATTAGTATCTAACGATGTTTAAATTGTTTGAATTTTGCCATCGTTTGTTTTTGCCATAGTTATATGGCAAACGGGCCGAAATTCACAGTGATCAAATAATTTCATCCAAACTACTGAACAGATTCGAACGAAATTTTTAATTTGCAGTCGTAACTACCTAATGGTTAAGTTCAGCTCGTGAAAATTTTTTCAATTGTGCCTTCGTTCGCGAGATTTTTTTTTTCTTTTCACCTTCATCCGTGGTTCAAACAGCAATACGTGCTTAAATTTGCATTAATCAAGAAATTCTTTTGAAACAGATTTGAATGAAACTTAGTACCTATTTAAATACCTAACCTCAGCAACGGTGATGTTTACAATTTATTCGTTTTGCCTTCGTTTGCGAGTTATACGGCTGTACGTACAAGGCTCGATCTTGGTTAAACCGGCCGGTAGAAAAGCCGGTCGTTCCGCCTATATCTGTATAACTCGCGAACGAAAGCAAAATAGAAAAATTGTCACGAGCTAGACATCACCGTTGAGAGGTTAGGTATTTATATACAAAGTTTCGTTGAAATCTGTTCTGTAGTTTAGAAGAAATTTCTTGATCGCCGCGAATTTAAGCGACAAATTACCCGGCGATACGGGCCAAATATAAGGAAGTGTGAAATCAAGAATGACGGTAAATAAAAAAAAAACTCGCAAACGAAGTCAAAATAAAAAAATTATAAGCTAAAAAAATCACCGTTTGGTAGTTAGGAATGCATATTAAAAATTTCGCTCAAATCTGTTCAATAGTTTGGAAAAAATTTTTTGATCACTGCGAATTTCGGCCTGTTTCACAATATACGCGTAACTCATGAATGGTGGAACTTAAAAAAAAAATTAGGAGCTAAACATCACCGTTAGGTTATGATGAATACGTATTCCAATTTTCATAGAGCTGCGTTCATTAGTTTGGGAGATATTACTTGATAATTGAATTTGGAGATTGGTTGTGCGACTGGCTACGAGTCAGGCCGTAAATTCGCCCGAGACGTCCAAGGGTTCTAGTGCTGAAACAGTTAAAACAGCTGAAAAACCTATTGCTTCACTAAATGGGGTTCTTTTTGTGAAATACACATTTGTGTTTAACCTTTATCTTTTAAAATTGCAGAGTACTAAATTTCAAGAAAGATGCGTAAGTTTTTATATATATACTTTGGGGGGCGCTAGAAGTTTACTAGGGAGCCAAAGGGGGCGCCAGCCTGAAAAAGTTTGGGAACCACTGGCTTAAAACAACTACATATAATTTATCGATTACCACAGAGATTATTATATCTCTCTACAACCTGCGCTGCAGGTCTGACGGAGTGTAGTCAGCTAGGGGAGCGCCGGTGTCTTCATTATAGGAGGTCCACGCCGGGGCTTGCCTGAGCAGCGCGGGACTGGGGTAGCGGAGCTGTGGCTCCTGATTGGCTAGTGGCAGGGTGCTACTTAGCACTCCTTCACCTACTGCCAGCAACAGCACCACAGCAGTCACCCAGTTCTGCACCATCACTGCACGTACAAAAATTGCATTGACTACCCAGTTCTGCACCATCACTGCACGTACAAAAATTACATTGGCAATTTAAAAGGGTGCTACTTAGCACCCCTTCACCTACTACCAGCAACAGCACCACAACAGTCACCCAGTTCTGCACCATCACTGCACGTACAAAAATTGCATTGGCAATTTAAATCGTAATAATAGTTTACTGTTTATGATTGAATGCAGTGAGCATTTGATATCATATTAGAAATTTAATCAATGATATTGCATTAGCTTATGGTTGAAGGTCGTGAACATTTGATAACGTTTATGATTTACGAGTAAAACGATTATTTATATTAGCTCAGTTTGAAATGTCGACAATTTATCTGAATGGCTATGGCATTGTATGTTTTGTATGTTATAACACATCTCACTCTAACTTAACTATTGTGGAAATTTACTTAAATTCATCAAGAAGAATTCATATGAAATCTGAGAAGTAAAATAACTTCTGGAATATTTATAAGTGACAACATCTTCTACTAAAAGTTAATCAAATGCATGTTGGGAAAACCGTAGATTTTCGCTGGAATTCCATCAATCAGTGCCTTCGGCTATCGATGAAGGTTTTTCCAAAATATGCGTAAATATTTTTTTGTGAGTGCTATGGACAGTTGAAAATTTTAGTTTTAGTTCAGTTTAAATCATTTGAAATTGGATATTGATAGTTGTTATGGTTGAGCGAGCTTGTGGAGGTTATTTTATTTCACTTAGCATGAACGTAAGAAGAAAAAACTTCAGTACGAAAATTATGGTTCTCACATATTTTCCGAAAAATTTTAGCCTCATAATTTATTTTTATGTTGATTATATAATAAAATATTTAAAAATTTTTTTTAAAAAAAAACACGTTTTTCTTGTGGACTAAAAATCATACTATATATATACTATATATATACTTTACTCAATTAAACTAATTTCGGTCTCTAATTACTAGTTTTTATGATTGTATCTGAAATTGTTAGGCAAAAATAGCCTGCATGCCGAATTTCAGATCTCTAGAGCAATCAGAAGTGGGATAATTTTCGTTGTCAATGTTAACAACAAACAAACAAACAAACAAACAAACAAACAAACAAACAAACGCGAAGCTAAGCTAAGAAAAACGTGTTAAAAACTAAATGCTAATGCAAATGTTTGAGTTATTATCTAAGCGAATTTTCAAGATTCAACTCACTTAGTAAATCTTCATACTTCGAGCGAACGTGTCTTGGCTTCAGTAATACTTTACAGCATCGGGATTGCCAAAAGAGGATAGATCAGATTTCATTGTAAAATAATAAACGTAACGTCTTCCGTACATTGAATGGAATTTCCTGTCGCATCCCCTGTCGATTGAAGTCAAGCCCGCATGGCTCAGAAGCCAAGCGGGTTTGACTTCAATCATTTCAAAATGGCTAGTGTAGTTTTTAAATTTGAATATATAAAGTCTGGTCGCAACTGTACCAATCAGAGAGAATTTTTTATCCAATTTAAAAGCCCGTACAGGATTTCCCTCCAGCTATGCTTGTACAATTTACATGCTTGACGAATTAAACCTATATTTTTTTTATAATGCACCGCGCGTGCGGAAAGAAGACAATAATATGTTGTACCGTCTCCTCCATATTCATGTGTGGCCATTAGTTCTTTATTTTCCTATGTAAATCTGGATAAATTTCCATCGTAACATTGAATTGTAGGACCTTTACATACGCAAAAAATGTAATAAAAAAGTCTCAATTGTTCTCATCATAGGCATGAGAAACTATTCATTTCATCTCAGCGTCAATGAAAATATTGCATTTACAACACCGGAACAACTAAGGTAAGACCATCATTATTCATTTTTTGATGATTCAATTGATCAAATTTAAAATAAATCTTCAGCTGGCAAAATTTATATGCCTTTTCAGCCCCCGCATTTACCATGAATCAGTACACAGTATTACTTTTTCTTTCGATTAAATGTAATCAGCGGGCTAAAATTCAGGCTTCATGTACAAGATTTATGATATGTGTATTGAACGCGTATTCATGTTGAGTCAGGGGCGGCAGAAAAGTACTTATAAAGAGAGGTACTAATGCCCATGACAAAGCCTAATGGAAGGTAATCAAATAAGCCTTTGTATTGCCACTTCGTATCCGACGCATCTGCTCGGCCTCAACCACGTGCACAATCTGGCAATGAATAAACAGAAGAAGGAAGAAATAAAAAATTAAAAATTATACAATGTGCATGCTTGACGAATAATATTAAACTTATATTTTTTTAATAATGCTCCGCGCGTGTGGATAAAAGAAAATAATATATTGTATCGTATTTACCATTTTCATGTGTTGCCATTAGTTCCTTATTTTTCTATGTAAATCGAAAGAAATTTCCATCATCAAAGCTTAAAATCGAAAGAATCAAACAAATCGGAAAAATAAAATTCGTAATTACCGTGAAAATATTTCAGTCTTTGCCAGGGATTCTTAAGAAAAAATCTTAAATACTACTCATATATAAATTCTCAAAAATTTTTCCTGATACCAAAAAAGGCATCCGGTGAAATAGGCTTCATGTTGATGTGCCAAAAATTCTAAATATGTTAAATACTTTATTATAGATAATTACGAGTTTCTAAAAACGGGGGTTATAGTTCAAGAAATTATTAGCTTCCTCAACTGAATAAAATGAAGCCAATAAAAGACCGCACTGAATAAAAGACCCTGAAAGCATGTTCAATAATCTATTATAACTTTAATGATATGTATGGCGCTATATTTATGGTACCAGTTCTTTGCGAGTCGAATATACTTCTGAAGCATTTGTCTGTTTTGAATTGAACGGAAATTTCTAAGTCAATGTTTAGTTCCAAGTATCCTGAGCACGATATGCGCTACTGTGAAGTTGTGGTCCCTCAATTTTGCGTGTTGTACCTACAACTAAAGCCTGACTGAATTAAAAAAAAAAGTTGAATGGATTGCCGATGAAGTTAATTCTTGCGTCGTGCAGTGTTATTCGGAAAAATATTTGTGCTACAGTCCTCTGTCGAGTCATCAGTTACTTTAGTTACACGAATCTTTTTTAAGAAGCTGAATACAATTTATTAGTCAAAACATCTATCTTCCAGTTCCTTTGCTCTCTTAAACAATAACGTCTCTCTATTGAAATGTTATTAAACCTTTCATATTTCCTAGTTTCCACTGTAAATCAAATTTAAAAATATCTGACCTTGATATGGAATTACAGATGACAAAAGCACGTAACTGGCAGGAATTTCTGTCAGGTAGTTTTCCTGTGTTAAGTTCATCGTGTGATGTAATAATGGTGTTCGTTTTTGTCCATTGAATCGGGACAGTGCAAGGCGATTGCCGTCGTTCAGTGATTATTAATCGCATTATTTCCTGGACATTCGACACAATCTCAGAAAGGCAAAAAAAATTTCTGAGTCTAAGAACACACGCGGAATTCTTAAGCCTGAGATTGGGTGGCGTCTCACGCACGCGATGTCGCCTCGTTTTCCAACCTTGAATGGTCGGCGCCGGCATTTGAAAACTCGAAGACGGAAGAGAAAACGAGGCTTTTGACGACGGTGATCAGACGGTGTTGTAAGGTGTAAATGCCTGAAATAAGGCGTGAAAAGTGATCAAATACGGCGTGAAAAGTGATCAAATATGGCGTGAAAAGGATCAAGATGAGAAGCAACAAAGAGTTCAACATGTTACTGTGTCTATGTTACTTGAGCATAATGCATTCCGGCATTCATGTTGCCTCAATGACTTGTACTCACAATTAAAATAGAGATAGAGACATTGTAATCATAAGATATACGTAAATGTGAAGTAAATTGAGATGTGCAGATATCATGATGAATATGGAACAGGAAATATTGATAACGTACGTAGAAAAATGAAGGAAATTTGATTATTTGAAGAGGAAATCATGAATGGAGCTGCAAAAATATTCTATTTGAAATTTAACTCGTAAATGAAAACGAATCATTCGTAAAATAAATGTCTTATGAAAATAATAAATCATATTAGCCAAATGAAAATCATCCATCCACTTCAATGCAATAATGAAAGGACCGAAAATATAAACTGCAAGTACGAAATAGTTTGTGCCCCTCTCTGGAATCCTTATCCGTGTCAAGACTCGCTCAATGCCCGCGATAAAATCATTGAATATATTGAAACTCATGCCTAAATTACTCTGCACTAGAATACGATATTACAGGTAATCTCCATTCACGAATCTTTGTTGAGAACCTGGTTCATTGATTGGTGCAATTCTGCTCAGGAACCTTGAGACGATGTCTTGTATTTTCAGTTGAGCGTCTTTATAAAGGCTATTGGTGGTGCGGCCTCGAAGAGCGTTTGTACTGTGGTGCAGGCAAACTTTGGCTTGGATTTCTTCAAGCAAACTTCAGAAGATAAGACAGGTTAATTAAACGCGTTCGTCCAGAGGAAATTTATAGGAAACATGAAAGTTCGAAATTCAATTCAGAGGAAACTTGAAAATCCAAATGAAATTTAAGTAATACCAGAGCAAGGAAAAGAAAAGTTTTCGCAAAACCCGGTGGAACGACAGCGTTTTGCCTGGAGCTTTGCTGTAAGAAAAACAGTTGTTATCAAATACCCTTGCCCCAGAACCCAGTTTTCCCAGAACTCAAGCGAGCACAAAAGCGAATGCCACGATACGAAATTGGATTTCAACGAGTAAAAGTTTTCACTAAAGCGAAAGGTAAACAAGACAAGAGAAGGACAGAGTTTAATTTATAAACTTCAAATAACACTTGATTAAATTGCGATTAGAAAGATAGACACATAAAAGTTATTGTCGTTGTCCGAATGTCAATCTGATGATTTCAAATTTGCTCTGACTGAAAATTAATGTGTGAAATGAATTTATTTGTTTCCTATTAAAAAATCTTCGATTTTCGAAAAATAATTTTGCCGATTTGGGTTCATTGTCGATTACCCACTTCAAATAACA